AAACCATCCTTAACTTCAGTTCCAGGGGAATCCGAAGTTCTCTTCTGACCTCCGCAGCATTGCACGACATGGATGCAGTCACATACATGCAGGCAACACACTTGTACACATAAAATAAAAATAATAAATAAAATATAAAAAAAGAAAATTTTAAAAATTCTATTTATTTGTGAATATCTGCAGTCTAACATGAGGGTACTCTTCTGCTAAAACTGCAGTATAAGAGAAAAAAACCACATGATAAGAGTGGTTGGGGAGTTGGAGAGGTGGATCAGTGGTTAAGAACACTTGCTGCTCTTGCAAAGGACCTGGGGTTCAGTTCCCAGCACCCATATCAGGTTCACAATCAACTATAACTCTAGCTCTTGGGCATCTGACACCCTCTTCTGGCCTCTTTGAGCACTGCATGCATGTGATGCACATACAGATAAGCATGTACACACACATACACATAAATAAAACTAACATCAACAAAAAAAGAATGGCTGACTTTTCATTAGGTTATAAGCCTGGTTAATGTTTGGAGTGGTAAGAACTTTTTTAGTTTTACTACTGAAATGAAAAGAACTCTAAGGTTTCTGTCAAGTTAAAAAGTATCACAATTCAATTATTTTTAAATCTAAGTTTCCACTGCAACTTGAAAAAAGAAAGGAAATTGCTGTCTACATTTCTCCTTCAGATTATTTTCTTTTTCTTTATATCTGGGTGTCAACAAAGAATTTTTGTGGGGGCTGGAGAGATGGCTCAGTGGTTAAGAGCACTGACTGCTCTTGCAGAGGACCCGGGTTCGATTCCCAGCACTCACATGATAGCTAAAAACAGCCCTTAACTCCAGTTCCAGGGGAATCTGAAGCCGTCTTCTGACCTCCACGGCATTGCACGACACGGGTGCACTCACATACATGCAGGCAACACACTCATACACATAAAAATAATATTTAAAAAAAAAATAATTTTTGTGAAAGATGGGCCTTGTGTGCTTATAAAGACAAAAGCACAAGTATTCTGAAAGTGGATGCTTTCAGAGGTAAAGGGAACAGCTGCTTCTTGAATATTTTATGAGATCTAGGTATTAGAATGAGGTTTCTGAAGCTGGAACATAGAGATCTAGGAACAAAAGAGATAGAATGAGGGAACAAATTGTGAATTTTAAAAAAAATATGAAGCAATCTTAATGTTGAACACGGAAATGGATGGTGTTACAAAGATAATTCCTAGCAAGGGCTCTAAAAGCATAATGATTTATTGATTGGATCGGCACTAATGATGTGCTCTGATTATGCATGAGTAAATAAGAGGCCTGATTTATGAGGGTGCAATTGGATCTTTCAGATATATTTGGTCCAAGTCTATGGTCCAAATAAATGGAGGTAATTATATGAGTATTTCAGGGGAAGAATTCTCCCACAATAGTTTGGAGACAGTGTAGAATGTTAGGAAAAGAGAAAAGATGAAGGGAGGGAAGGAGGGAGGGAGGGGGAGGGAAGAAAAGAAATTCTACAATTAAGAAATAGAGAAACATCTCTTTTTAAATAGTTCTGTTAAGAAATAGCCCCTGCTTTCTAAAAGGAAAAAAAAAAAAAAAAAGATTTCCAGGTGCTACTGGGGAGCAGTGCTTTCCTTTTTTGAAAAAAAATGAAGAAAAATTATAGGAAATTGTTCTGTTAAAGCAACTACACACAGAGTGTGTGTAAGGAAATCAGCTTTTTCATTATAGATAGGTTTAAAAAGGCTCAAAGAAGAGAGACGTGAACAGAAGCAATATTATTCCCAGGCAAGTGCGCTCTCTTTCAGACAGCAGCCCAGAGAAGCTCACAGCTTCATTGAACAGGGCGTTTGTCTCCCTGATAAAGACTCATCTTTCTTTCTTTCAGGATATAAAACTTGTATTTAAATCAATTCAGAGAAGCACTCTGGCTTTAAACATGCGCTAGTGGGGAGAGCCTATTTAGTGAAACAGCATTATTTCGTTTTCAAAGAATGATCCCGGCAGTAGCTCTAAGTTGAGATTTTGCATTCTTTACCTCAATTATAATTATAGATGGGTCTGAAAGGAAGCATGTCTATTGCTGTAATATTTATTCTTTTGACAGGTGTTATGGAACTGTAATTTGATGAAATGACTCAAAACGCAGACTCCCATTCAAACATAATTTCTGTCACCGGCACGAGCGGTTTGGGCCAAGTCCTCCAAGATGCCTTTTCACAGGTTTTGAGCACTTCTAATGTTTCAGCAAAATCAGTACACGGGAATTTGAGGAAGAGCTTGCCTTCAGGGCTCATCCCCGGGAGTTGTAAGGAAGAAAAGGGAAAGAAGGCTCTGGGTTTGACCAGCTGGGTGCGGTTGGATCTAGAAACCGGCACTCAGTAGGACCCCGAGTCCCGCTGGCGGCCGGCAGAGGGCGCGCAGGCTCCGGGAGGGGGCGGGGCTACGCTGTCTCTCCGCGCAGGCTCACTCGTCGCCGCCGCGCCTGCGGCTTCCGGGGTTGGCGTCCTCAGCGAAGGCCGGTGAGCCCGGCCGGGCGGGTAGAGGGCGGGGGCGTAGGGCTCTGTGGCTGGGGCCAGGGGGGCGACGGGGGCGGGCTGGGGATTATCGAGGTCTCAGGCAGAGCCCTCATCCGAGGAAGCCCAGTCTGCTGAGTCATTCGCCCGCCTGTCCTCCAGGGTGTCCCGGGGAGCAGGGAGGGCCGGGAGGTGTCTGGGCCGCCCCTCCGAAGCCGCGCCCCCGTCCGCTACGTGGGCACGCAGCCTCGGTAGTGCTAGTTTTCAAAGAGACGTGTCCTCTTCCCCGCCTCCAGTCCATCTACGGGAACACCCGGTTACCTGAAGTAACCTTGACTAGCAGGGAGAGAATTCCTGAGGAACAAGAGAGGGATGTGGGGGGTCTCTCTGCTGCCCCTGAACCGGTACTCCTCATGCCTCTACCTCCCAAGTGTACTGTGATTACTGGCCTGTGCCACCACAGCGGGTAATGTTTGATCATTTAAAGTGCACCTGTTTAATAACCTTTAGAATGTGCGCAGAATTGTGCATCTATTGCCACAGTCGATTTTAGAATATTTTCAGTTCCCTCAAAAAGGAACACCTCCCATCAGCTGACAGCTCCCTTTCCCCATTTCTTTCCCTTACCCTCTGCACCAGGCAAGTGTTTCTCTGCCTTCCATAGATTTGCCAATTCTGAATATTTCATAGAAATTGAATTGTAAGTTATGTAGCCTCTGACTTCCTGCACCTTGCATACCTTCAAGATTCACACAGGTCGTAGCATATGACCGCATGTCATTTCTTTTTATGGTAGACTAGTTTTCCAAGGTATGCCTGTACCAGGTTTTATCTCTCCATTCATCATGTGATGGCCGTTGGGACTCTTGAAGTCCTTACTACCACCTACCTGACCTCTGGATATGAGGTAGTGGGGGGGGGTAAAGCACTCTCTGCAGAGAGGGAGGGATTGAGTATGTGTTTTATGAAATATCCTAGGGTGGCACATAGGAATTGGCCGGGAAAAAGACATCAAGACATAATGCAGGAGCTGGGAACATAGCTCAGTGGTAGAATGGTTGCCTACTATGTTCAAGCTCTTGGAGTCATCTTTAGCAACATACCCCCCCCCACACACACACACGGATAGGGGCTGGCCATACCTTGAATTGATTATGTGAGAGAGGGACTAGGGTAGGCAGGATTGCTGGGAGAACATTGTATGTGCCAGATGGAGCCCTGGGGTGGGCAGGGCAGGGAGCAAACCATTCCTATTTTTCAACTTTCCCCATCAAGAAGAGTAATTGCATATTTAAAAAATGGTTGGTGCAGCCTTAATTTAGCTTTTATCAGTGCTTAATAGGGTATAATTTCTGGTCATTTTCTGCAGTTCCATTCTTTCTTTTGAAATATATGACTTTTTCCCCACTTATTTTTAGGTGCCCTGTTTCAGAACACAGGTTAGGGAAAAGGACAAAGAGGTTACATGGGGATCCTTGCCAGTGATCCCTCTTGACACCCAGGAAATTGCCTTTGTGGCTTCCCCCCCTTTTTTTCCTTTATTTGATCATATCCTGTAAATTGGTTTTGTTTATGTTTTGAGACAGGGTTCAGGTTGGCCTCAACTTGCTATAGCCCAAGCTGGGCCTTGATTTCCTGATCCTCCTACTCCCACCTCCTGAGTGCTGGGATTACAAGTACATGCCACCAGGCCTGTTAGATTTTGTACAGTGTGTGTGTGTGTGTGTGTGTGTGTGTGTGTGTGTGTGTGTGTGTTGAGAGACAGAGACAGAGAGAGAACATGCACATGTGGAGGGGCATTTGAACATCTTGGTTGGTTCTCTCCTGCCACCTTCTGGGATCTGAGGATTAACTCAGGGTGTCAGGCCTGTGTTATCTTGCTGGCCCTGTAAAACTTTTTTTTTTTTTTTTTTTGACACAAGGTCTCACTATATAGCACTGTCTGGCCTGGAAGTCACTATGTAGACCAGGCTGGCCTCAAATTCATGGAGATCTTCCTGCCTCTGCCTCCTTAGTGCTGGAATTGAAGGCATGTGCCACCCCATCCCGAATTTTCTTTTCATCTATATGTAGGAAGGTGATGTAATGTCCTTGTGTTTCTGAAAAGCATGGAACAAGGGTTTGTGGCTAAGTTGTGAACAATAGTCCAGTCAAGTATGTTAGTTAGTGAATGAACATGATTTTGCATGAGCCCTGGTAGAGTTCTTTATGGATGGGGTGTTTAGCCCTGATCTGGTCAGCATTTTTTTTAAACTGGGGATTAGACCCAGGGTGTTCTACATGCCAGGCAGGTGCTCTACCACTAAGCTACACCCCCAGCTGTGGTCAGCATTCTTTTTTAAAAAAATGTATTGATTATTTTTATTTTATATGTAAGAGTGTATTGCCTGCATGCATGTAAGTGCACCCGTGTCATGCAGTGCCTGTAGAAGTTAGAAGAGGGCCTTGGAGCCCCTGGAACTGGAGTTACTTACGGACAGTTGTTAACTACCACGTCGGTGCTGGGAATCAAACTCAGGTCCTCTGCAAGAACATCCAGTGCTCTTAACTGCTGAGTCAGCTCTCCAGCCCCATGTGGTTAGCATTTTTAGGCATACAAAGTTAGCAAGAGATGTCAATGAGGCAAGTAAGGTCATGGGCTTTAGAATCAAATAGATCCTTGCCTGACTGTGAACAGCTGTATGGTTTCTGGCAAATTGTAACCTCTCTGAGCCTCAGTTTTCTTACCTATAAAAAGGCTAATGACACCTACCCTCTAATATTGTTAAATGTTCAGTGAGATAATATTGAAAAGCTGTCATAATTGCCAGGTACTAATTAACCTCTGAATGGGAAGGTCATCAGTTATGTCATCAGGTTCAAACAAGGCTCTGAAAGAAAGCTCTGGGTAGGTGAGGTGTTGGTCCTCTCTGGTCCTGGGGCTAAGCCCTAAGCCTATACGTAACTGCTTGGAAAAGCCTTGCATGGATGAGCAATGCTTATGGAAGATCAGACTAATTTATTTCAGTTTGTGCCCAGTGTGTGATTGTTTCTTTGCTTTTGTTGTGTAGAGATGAATTAAATAACGGAGTCAGACAGCCCAGAGATTGGGTGGCAGATTGTGACTCTGTGCTGAATTAATATAGTAAAAGGCTTATTAATAGTTCAGGGGAAAAAGGTGCTTTGAAGTGAATGCCAGGGCCCTGAGGGTCTGAGCAGAGAATGTGGTCCGGGTTGCATTCCTTGAATTCACAGGTCACAGAGTTGACAAGTCATTGCCTGTGGGACTGGTCAGCACACAGTCAATCTGCTGTTTCTCCCACTGGCAGTGTGCTTGGGAGAATGTAGAGGCAGCAAGTAGGGCAGGGAGACTTGGGGAGATGGTAACATCTACCACCCTTATGCTGTAAAGGGGATGACTGAGGAGCCATGAGAGTTGTCTTTGGATAAGGGGAGACTGGATTTGCTGGTAGATTTGGGCAGTTCTCAGACCAGGAGTGGAATTCTGCAGCAGATTGAGCCCAGAGTTAAGAGGGGCTTCCCGTCAGCTTAGGTGGAGGGAAAGTGGCGAGGCCTGTGCCAGGGATGTTTCTAAGGTGACCTTATTATGAAAGTTTTCAAAATACACAGAAGTTAAAGTAACAGTACAGTGTCCATTCCTCATACCAGAAGTCTTATCATTCTGCCACATTTCTTAGTCTTTCTCATTCTGTCTCTTCCTCTGTGAACTGGCTGTGCTGGATAGCTTTAGTGTCAACTTGACACACCTGGGTTGAGGGAGCCTCAATCGGGAAATTTCCTCTATTGGACTGGTCTGTCTGAAGGGCATCTTCTTGATGAGTGATGTGGGCGGGCCCAGCCCACTGTGGGTGGTGCCACCCCTGGGCACTTGGGCCTGTGTTGCATAAGAAAGCAGGCTGAGCAGGGGCCAGGGGAGCAAGCCTGTAAGCAGCATTCCTCCATGGCCTGTGCTCCAGCTCCTGCCTCCAGGTTCCTGCCCTGAGTTCCTACCTTGGGCTCCCTGATGAACTGCATGCGACCTGGGAGATGTAAAACAAATAAACCCTTTCCTCCCCAAGTTGGTACTGGTCAGAGTGTTTTGTCACAGCAATGAAGAACAAACTAGGACACTGGCTTTTGCTGAACTTTTTGGAAATAGTTGCAGAGCTGGTAGCACATCTCTTCTAAACACTTGCATTTCCTAAGGATACAAACATACTCTAAATAAGCACAATATCATTATTATTCCCAAGAAAATGACAGATTCAGACTAATTCACAGTGCCATTTGATGCACAGCTGTGGAAAGGTTTTCAGTCAGGTTGATTTAGTGCTGTGACCATTCTGTGAAGAGTGGCTTGTGGGGCCCTACACAGAAGTGGATGCCTCCCAGTAATCTAGACAGTAGCCTGAGCTGGAAGTCTGGGCTAGATTAAAGTGTGGGTGATGTGATGTAGAATAACATGGGTTGTTTTAAGGTCACCACAGGCTTTCCTTTGAGCATGACTCAGGGCAAGGTGGGATGTTGTTTCACTAAGTTTTCCTTTTCCTGCTGGCTGGGAGACCTGCCCCAACTCAGGGTCTCCTGGTCCTGATGCAGATTGACAAACTGACATAAGATAGTCTATTTAGATTTTGCCTAGTTTATATGACATTTGGGAGGGGGTGACTTACGAAAACAGGGATTCTTATAGGCTTTTCTTTTTCCATATTTGAAATGCACGTGCCATCCATCTCCTGCCCCTGCCCATGCTTAATATAGCTGTGGCTCCACCCATTTTTCCCAGTGTGCTCCAAGTTGTCTCTGAGGAGCCCCCGAGATGCACCGACCCACCTTTTGCTCTATTCCAAAAATGGCAACTACCCCATTCATGGCTGTGCTTGAAAGTCCACACCCAGACGGCTACACAAAATGACAAGAGAGTGGCCTCGTGGTTGTCCTGGCTTATATCTCCATAGCCCAGCTTCTTAATGGGTTTGACTCCTTCCACAGAGCATGGGAAGAAGGTAGGACCATGGCTTATCAGA